TCTGTTTTAATGTTTAGATCATTAAGCCATTTTGACTTTAGCTTAGTGCATGGTGAGAGACCTGGGTCAACTTTTAGTTTTTGGCATGTTGAGAGCCTGTTTTTCCAGCACCATTTGTTAAAGAGGCTATTTTTCTTCCAGCAAGCATGTGTGGCCCCTTTGTCAAAGATAAGATGGCTGAGTGTATTCGTAGAGGCTTCTGCATCTTGTAGTCTATTCCTTTGATCTGCAGGTCTATTTCGTTGCCAGTACCATGCTGATTTTATCACAGTAGCCTTGTATAATTTCAAGTCAGGAATTGTAATGCCTCCTGCCTTGTCTTTTTTGCCCAGGATTAATAAGTTTAATACAAATTTCATAGTTGTCCCTGGGATTATAAACTAACTCCCTGTTGACACTAGCAAACCTCGTAATGATTAGCTTGTGTGATGTCAGGTTTTAGACATCGTGAGCATACATTTGCAGGCCCAAAAACTGAGGCTTAGTGTTACACAAAAAATTATTATGCTTTTGGGTTGACATGATAAAAGCAGTAAAATAATTCTATACACTAAATCACTTAAGCAGAAATAATCTCCAAAAAGCTACTGGATAACTCAAAGGTAGACCGGGTAATGATAATACTGATATCAGAGTTGTGTGTTGAAATGAAATTGTTCTATGCAACAAATTTGGGGAAAGGCAGTGGTTCTAAATACATATTTTGATATGTTCATAGGAAACTAATTTTAAATGCACAGACTAATAGAAAAATCAGAATTATTTAGTAGCTAAGGATATGAAATGTGTATGTACAATTACAGTGTTAACATAGGGGCCTAGTCACTGTATGATTTGTAGCACTTCAGTATAGCTCAGTATCCCTCTGTGATGAGTAAATCTGTAGGAAAAATGGTCTCTGAAAAAAAAAAAAAAGAAAGAAAAGGGGTCTCTGCATCATTTCCAAGATGATCTCATACAGAAATTCTCAAATGCTGAATAATGAACAAATAACCATTTCACAGGGCAGTTTTTAAAATTAACTGAATATTTTTACTTGCTAAATCCAAAAAAGAGGTTAGTGCTGGGCATGGTGTTGCACACCTATAATCCCAGCACTTGTAAGCTAGAGGCAGGAGGATTGCTACCAGTTCAACACCACCTTTGACCTTATAGTAAGACTGTGTCTCAAAGGAAGATGGCCTTAATGGTGTTTAACAAAATGCAGTCTTAGACCCAGTCCTAGCCCAGGCCCCGTGAGTGTGTGGTAGAGCTTCCGGCTACCCTGCGCCGGTGGGACCTATCGGTCCCAGCCCAGGCGCAGTGTGGATGAGATCCTTTTCTACCCCCTTGGGATGCCCCCTACCACTCGTAGTACCCCTCCACCCTGCCCACCGAGTAGGAATTTCTGTCGTGTTCTGGGAACCCCCAGATCCAGTCCTAGCCCAGGCCCAGTGAGTGTGTGGGAGAGCTGCCTCTCCCCCCTACTCCACCTTGTCCCCTCCAGACTCAGCTCAGGACAGGGGTGAAACCCTACAGCTGTAATCCCTGCAGAGTGTAGGGGACAGAACCACCCAGCTAGTCCAGGAGCAGAACATCTTGCCAGAGGGGCACAACAGGTTCATCCCCAAGGGCAGCAGCAGGAAGGAGCTGAGCACAGCAGCCAGACCCAAGCCAGGCACAGCTAGATAAATCCAAACTTTGTAGATCTGTAGCTGAACTTTAGTAGGTGCTAAGGTTATAAGTGCACCAAAGATCTACAGCAAAGATCAGAAGACAGTGCTACAAATGCAGTTTTAGACTACGTGTCTGCTTCCGAATTATTTGTAGCCTAAGTCACATACAGTTCTGCATTATCTCTGTAGTTTGAGGAAACTGCTTCATTGTGAAGATTCCAAAGTTATAAAAATACTCTTTCAAGTAAAATTGCAATACATTTTGACATTTTCTATAGCACCTTCTAATATAGAAGTATATGAGATGGGCTTAAAAATACAAAGTTAACTTGTTTGTATAAAGAGACAGTTTAATGCCAGCCATGCTGGTGCTTATTTGTCAACTCAGCATTCGGGAGGCTGAGGTAGGAGGATTGCCACAAGCAAACACACACATTTTAAATGATTCTTTGG